TCAACAAAAGGGCTGTAAGTTTGCAGGCTGTACTGATGCGACTGCCTATGTCCATGGGCGTATCCTTCAGCTGAGTTGGAAAAATGTGTGATTCCCAGCTGAACCTCAATGCATGGTGAGAGAGATCATTCTCCCACTGAATGCAGTTGCAAAGTATATTATGTTTTCAATGGGACGAGATTAAATCCCAGAATTAGGCAGGCAGCATGTGGTAAAGCCAATTCAGCCCACAAGTATGCACACACCTTCATGCATTAATCACTCTTCTGTGGGATAAACCTTTCCTGTTAATCCCTGGTTTTATAGGGATTTCTAGGAAATCAACTCATGGTTGGTATGAGCTGGCCATGTTTGTGGATGACCTGACATGATGCTGCTGAAGCCAGCCAAAGCAGTTTTACACCAATAATTACCTTTGCCCAGCCTCTCCCCCAGCCAAAACATCCTCACCCACTCCCCACAGCTGACCCAGCTTACAGAAAAGCCAGAGCTGTGCTGTTCCCTTCCAGTGTCTGGTGAGATGAGGATGAAGTCATGAGGTAGGGTGCCAACCTCAGGTACTGAGCTGGAATGATCCTCCCTCTTTCTCTCCTCCACAAACCTTAGTGACCACTGAAGTGAGACTCTTCATGAAAATAGCACGTGGGGCTTTTGCAGTAAACTTGGCCAATTTGTTCCTTTAATGAAATTAGGGCCAGAAAAAGATGCACTCACATCCATGCATAAAATGTGCTGGAATCAACTGCATGGCTTACGCACACACAGGGGAAAAAATAGGGCCCAATATTCATAGCAACATTGTGTAGTAAAAAAAAAAAAAAAAAGAATTTGTGGAATTAGGAATAAAACATGAGGCAATTTGTTGATTTGCCCTGGGAATATAAGAGAGCAACAAATGTGTAGATTATTCTAAGGTTGTTTTTTCAGTGTCATTATCAGATTCAAGAACTGTATATAAAAGCATGCGGTCCTTCACATGCTAAAAGTATAGTTTGCTCAAACAATTGTAAAATATTCAGTATTCTTAAGATTAAATATCTGAATATTGCTTCTGAAGGAACAGCTGTCAGCTTAAATCTAAAGTCTAGTTTGTTTACTGGCTGTATTTTATATCTGTTAGAAAATGACACCAAATGGCAATAAAATTGTTGTAAGTATTCTACTGGGGACTATAAATGCCCTTTGGTTACAGTGTACATATCTTTATACATAATTCCAGTATATTTTCCCTAGAATTATGTTAAATATGTAAAAAGCCTTTTCTCATAAAGGTAAAAATGCTAGATGTTTCCAAGCTGTAATTTAGCATTAGTGTCAAGATTGCTTCAGAAAATAAGCTACGGTTACTGTTTCATTCTTTTTAAGTGTCACTCAGCATACCATATCTGATCTTGTATTCAAAATAAACTTATATGATTTTATTCACTTTTCCAGAAGTGCAGGAGGGTTTAGACATAATTTATAGCATATGGATTGATGTAAATAGCTTAAACTAAGTAATTGGCTACTCACCTACGCTGTCTTATCCTATTACTGCTAGGTACTTTTCAAGTAATTAGGGAAAACAGATCTCTTTTATCCAGTAAGTTTAAATTGGATGAATCCTTGACATTTGTGAAGGCTTATTTGATAGATAAAATCATACTATACAAAAACTTTCTCTACAATGCTGAGGTTTACTAGGCCTATAATAAGAAACTGATTTTTTGTTGAGTTAAAGTGACTTATCTTTGCCCTTTTAATAAGAAATCAACTCCAGTCAGCAAAAGTCGAGATAAAAATCACCAAGCTGGTGTTATCACCATGTAGACAGCAAACACGTACCACTATCATTAACTTTTCTGTGCATGGATTTAAAATATGTTTAAAATGCTAAAATTCAATGATTTCCTTTATATTACAATAATATCAGATTAATGAATCCCAAAAAGCATGAAAAGTGATTTATTTTGAGAAGGTCATTCCTTGGTTATCCAACAGTTAAAGTGAATTACTAGAAAGGAGAAATATATTACAGGTAAAAAGGAAAATGGTTTTTACTGCATGTGAATTCTTTGAGTTTTACAATGCTTATGATAAAAAGACTACCTACAAGTTTAACCTCTATAATTTTTATGTTGCACATTTAAAAAAAAAAATCTTTTTATTTAACATTTCTAGGGCAATTTATACATGTCACCTTGTACTTAATGTTCCTTTTAAAACAGTTAGTTTTACCTCATCCCTATGAAACCTATAAAACTACTTTTCATACCAGCCATGAAATTTCTAGTTATATTAGGAAATCTGGACCTCTAATGGGAATACCACACATTAAGATATAAGTATTTCAAAGAACCTGTTACTTAGAGAACATTTATTCCTAGCTAGTGTACTTCTGCACACAGCACTTACAAACTGGCTTTGCTGATTGAGGGGAAAAAAAAAAAGAAAAGAAAGGTAATTATTATTATTAAAGTGAGTTTTGGCTCCTTGGATAAAATTAGGTTCACATTGAAGTGATTTGCTGAATTAGGGCTCTGAGAAAATCTTGCTTTCAATGAAATATAAAAGAGTAGGATGAGCTGTAAATATGAAGTGAATTCCTTACTAGCATCCAAGGACTTCACAGCAAGATTATGCAAAATTCCTCTTATGCCTGTCAAAGAATATCTGCAGATACAGAAATATATCTGAAGTTGAAGTCACCAAGAGTTGAACACATGAATCTGGGGTTGAATTTGGGTGATTTCAGTTCTCATGGCTGTTCTCATGTTCCTGTGTTTGGCAAGAGAAACACGGCCCCAGATCTTGCCAGCCTGCACATACTCCTCATTCAGCTGAATGCTAAGAATCTACTGCTTAGGCTGTGGTGCCCTCTGAACAATGCCTACATTTGCACATATTTTTTCAAAGTTCTTATAATTCCTGTGTTGTTTTCTGCCAAATTTCTCATTTCCTCCTATTAAACATATTATTTTTTGAAGAACACCCGCCAAAACCAATACCCATCATGCTGTAAATGTCACAAAGCATTAAATATCTGATGGAGAGATCTTAATCCCCAAATGCCTGAATTAATGAGATTCTACTGTAGTATTTAGGAATAAGTGTTATGGCCCTTTCAGTATTATTCCTGAAACTTACAGAAATTCAAAGTCAAAGTATTTCCATTTTGCTATCTTCAGAATTTTTTAATAAAAGTGAACAAACAAAAATTTACACTGCAATAATTACATTTTTACATTTGGTGTGTTAATATAATAGAAAGGGGGATTGTTTCACAGGAAGAAGATGCACGTGGATGAATGTTGAATTACTCCTTGCACTGTGCAGTTTTACAAGAGCACTAGCCCATCCAGAAGAACAAAATAAGTGAAAATTGATTGTTTTCTTACTCTGTGGACACTGCAGACTGAGTAGATGTATATACAAAGGTAGGACATGCCACAATTGCCACAGACCACCTCTGTTCTTACAAGTCGTGTTCCTACAGTGCCAACACAACATTTCATACAAATATCTTGTCTCTGGTGAGGAGAAAGAGGCTTGCTGATCATGAAGAAAGAAGAAAGGCAGCTGTCATTTCTATGACAGAGAGAGGGAATAGATAACCCTCTCTGCCCCTGTCAATGTAGAAGAAAAGCCTTCCCTCCTTCACCACTGCTGGAAAGGTGAGGAGAGGAATGAAAAGCAAAACGGGAACTCATCTTGTTTCTTTTGGTGAGGTGTTGTACCCATTCCAGAATAAAACAGGTATGATTATGAAATTACATTATGTAGGTAAACTTCTGGTAAGGAGAAATCTTATTTACACCAATGGGTGATCCAATGGAAGCTGATTAAATTTAGAATAACAGGAGACTTCTGACCAAATAGACTATAAGGATCCAGAAAAATCTTTCCATTGCTTCATTGGGAGCAAAATACCTAAGATAGACAAGGGTTAGGTAAACTAATTACCTGAGTCTTTAGAGCAGCTCTAGATAGTCAAACTGAAAATCCTTGTACATTACAAGTTGTCAACAGAGGGAGCAAACTGAAAAGATTATTCCAAGAAACCCAGGTGCCTTTCATCTCCTACACTCTTAAAAACTATACATAACATTGCAATGCACCCTTACGCTCCAAAACAATTTTCTAACCCCACTCAAGTACCCCTGCTTGTCTAGCTGCAGAAAAGGGGGATAAAAATGTTCCTGAGGGATGACAACAGCAGCAAGTGGTAAAGCTCAGGTGTATTTTTCCCCATGGCAGCAAACTTCTCACTTGTCAGTGTATAGTTTTAAAATTCATTACATATTCCTAATTTGGAACTGAAGTAGAAAGCCCTGACCTACAAAGCACACAAATGTATAATTACATCTGTTATCAACTAAATGTAAGATCTGTATATGGGCTTTACTGCAATTATTAGTTAAGCACATTTCTTATATGTAAGTGCATTTAGATCTACAAGTAAAAATGCTGTAAAGAACACATTGATCTCCTAAATTAGATGTGCAACTTTCAAGACAATGAGGTAAGACTCAGTCATGGATTTTAGGGATAGGCCATGTTATGATCTGGTGTGGGAAACTATAAAGTGGCTTGAGCCATCCATATTACACATTGCTTACTTTGTAGATGCTGGAAGCTTCTCAAAAGCTTACCTGGGAAGACAAAACTACATCATATGAGAACATATTTCTTCTCTCTCAGAAGTACAGAACAGATTAATGAGCTGAAACAGTGCACTGGATTAAGATTGCCTTGGGTTCAAAGACCCTTCTTCCAATGCCTGGTGGAAGCTGAATGAAACCTCACCACTGAAAAGCTGAGAAGAGCTTAACTGAGAAAAACCATTCTGCAAAAAGCTACACTTGTAACAGGCAGAAAGTAGGAGTTGGGCTGCCTGGTCGACCTCCAACACGGAAAATGTGTTTTAGCAAAAGTCTAGGCAATTATTCACATGAGGAGTTTCTTCAACAGACTTGGGCATGGACCTGGATTTGCAGTTTCTTTGTTCCAGTAATTAAGTTCTACTTCATGTAGGCCACATGCCTTCTCTTGTTTTCTTTGGCCAGCTTGAAGACTCCGATGTCTTCACTCTGGTGAATCACAAGTTCCCCGGGCAGAAAATAATGTTTGAAATCCTTGAGGACAGTTTCCTTTAAATTAAATTTTCTTTAAAAAGCCAAGTAGGGCAAAGACATTAAGAATAAAATCTTTAATGAAGAAAACAGCCTTGAAACATTAAACAAAGGAGCAGAAGCAATGTTTACCTCATGCTGGAAAGATGTACTTGAACCTTCACCTTAGAAGTGTGCAGATGAAAACACTGTGTTTCATCACCACTCGTGCCACTTTTGGTAAAAAGATCAACATAATGATGCTCCCACTTCTTATCCGGGTAGGCAAAGTAATATTGTTTGACTCTACTTTCTCTTAAATGCCAATCTTTTTTTAAGAGTCTCTCAACACAAGACCAAAGGCAAAAAGGAAATGTTCCTCTTCAAAGTACTTAGAACCAAAATGGCAAAGCAATGAACAAAATGCAGCCCATGAAACAAGTAATGGGTGATACGCCTCTTTAATAACATCTTGTATTGTATTTTAGTGCACAAGCTGCTGAAATGCTGACAACATTTAAGATTCAATCTAAAACATGCAAGATGCCAGTAGGTAGTCTAACTGTGCCTTGGCTCTGTGTATCTGAGTACAAACTAAGTGAATGACCATACTTGTAGTAATAGCTGTCCATTAAATGTGCACAGTACTTACCTTGTATATTTATATAAATATAATTCCTGTACAGAATGACCTTATGTGGTTCTAAGAGATATATATTTATAAATAATCTCTATGTGTGTAGTTTCAATGTCTATCTTACATAATTGCCTTTAAATGGCTCTATAAACAATCCGAAATTGCTACTTTGCACTGCAAAAGCATTAACTCATTGATTATACACGACTGTTTAGGAGTGAGGTCTTCCTGTGGAAGCTTTAAGTGTGTATTTCAGGCAGGGTCAGGCACCGCCTATTGTGGCTGTGACCTAGTTCTGAAAAGCACCCCTTTTCCTTCAAAGCCTGTCAGCCAGGAGCCTGCTCACACCTACCTCAATGATAGCCCCATCAGGCAGCCTGAAGAAGTGCCTGTAGAGCTCCTGGAAGCCGCTGAGGTGAACCGTGTAGACGGAGATGTGAACAGTGGTGCTACCTTTCCAGCTGGCTGCAGCGTCAGGGATTTCATCCTGGTGCCGGAGGTCACAGCTGGAGACACCCGGCTGGCTGGCGTGGTCCTTCCAGATGTAATCAGACACTGCCACCTAGTGAAACACAGCCCCCCCCACCGAGGACACACACACACACACACACACAGAGCCCCCCACCCCCCACCAAAGGAACATATTTAATTAACTTCTGGCAAGAGCTTAACCGATTTAAAATGATTTTACAATAAATCTGCAAAGCCTGTACCATATGCAGTGCTTGCACACAGTTCTCTACTACATATTTTTTTATGACATAGATCTAAATAGAGGAGATAGACAAATCCCCAGTGTATATTCTATAAAGTTAATTCTGCACAGATGAAGCTGTAATTGACTCCCGTATTAACCAAAAGTAGGGAGATCAAGCAGGGTAGGTTAAACAATAAAATGGCAATGCTGATTAGGAAAAAAAAAAAAAAAAAAAAGCTTCCCAAGAATTTTGTGACCGAGTATTTGTATTTCTCTCTCTTTGAGAAGCCTTTGCTCCTGTACCCACAAGCACTTTTTAGGCTCTGATCTCTGTAAAATATTAAAATAACCTTGTGCTGCTAACTGAATTGCAGATGAGGCAGAGTAAATAAGGTGTATTTTAGGGCATTGCATGAAGCTAGTTTATTAACAGTTACCTAGCTTCCTAGTTTGCTCTAAACATGTCTGGTTTGGTAGGTTTTGTATCCCCCTACATCAAAATTTCCATCTAGCCTATTTCATATTAATTCTTTACACAGGCTGAGCAGAATTCAAGACTTCAGATGGATCATAGCACAAGGCTTAAGCAATCTTTATCCTTAACTAGAAATGATGATGAGAAGCATTATTTTTATACTGCCCCTGAAGTGCAAGCATAAGCTTTTTAACCCTCCACTTCTGCAAGACCTTTTCGTCACTCATTTTCTCCCATGAGATGCTACTCCTGTTTGTGGAAGGAAGGAAGGAAGGAATTGGTGATAGTGGTACATCCTTACAATACATCAGCATGATCTTCCCTAACACTTCTATTTAATGTAGACAAAACACAACTTTTGCTGGCCTAGCACTTGCTTTTTCTTTCAGGAATGTGTATTACACTGGCAGAAATGATGGGAACTTACAAAGCTAGCTGAAGAAAAGCTCTCATTTAAGATAGGTACATCAAAACCTTCTTCTGTATAATCTTGTTTTTACTTTTTGCTGAAATGAAGAGCTCAGATTCTTACAAGATCTCTTAAAAACTAGATACAAATTTTTCCCCTCTCTTGGGAAAAGTCAGATTTAGCTCAGTTTGCTTGTGTTCCAGTTCCCATTTCCTCAACTGTTCTTACGCATTACAAGGAATCCCATAACTGGCACAGTATGCCAATGCCACAATCCTGACGTGCATGCTGCTATTATGAGCCACTGCCTTAGGAGAGGATTTGTTTTAGGTGAATTAAGAAAGTAAGAACACATATAGGAAATTATCTCCAACTCTTTTCCAGGAACGACAGAACAATAGGATACTTCATTTTAGCCTCAGCTTCCATTTACATCAGCTCTAATAATTTTTTTTTTTACATTTTTAAAAATGGAAGCGTCATCTGAAATTTAAGGTAAAATAAGGACAGTCTGAGTTTTCCACACCAGAGTCTCTGGGGTTCAAAGGCTTTCATTCAGGACAAAATATTAGGAACACACAGTAGCCCTAAGGACAGGACGAGCCCTGTATTTTTTTCTGTCTACCACACAAGGCACATGCCTGCATTACACAGTGTCCATAAGAATTAATGTGTCCAGTGGTCTCAAGAAAGCAGGGAGGCAACTTCCATCGGTACAGTGTTGGCTTGAGCACAGAGGAGCTGCTGCAAGAGCTGACACACCACAGCCCCTGCAGGGTTACTCTCCTCTCTCATCCCAGTGTCTCGCTACCAGAACTTCTAACTTGTCCAATTCAAGAGCAACAAGGCTTTCCTGGTCTCATGTCTCCTCCCTGATCTATGGCTTCAGGAAAGATAAAAGGTTGAAAGACCCAGCTCAGAAACTCAGTCTTCAGGAAACACAGCAAGCAGGATAATCTCTGTCACAATCCTCCCCTTATGCCAGATGCAATTTCCCTGCATTGCTAGCTTCCTTTACTGAAAGTGTTTTCTTCCCTCCTGAATCAGTTCCATGCTTTCTCCTGCTTCTTTTCTGACCTTTATCTTACCTCACTTTCACTGAATCTTCTTGTTCTTCTCTTGTGTTTGTCCTTATCAACGACCAAGGGGTTTATTTACTGTGTGTTTTGCAAGCCATGGGTATGAACCCCACATCCTTCTTTGCAGCTCTGTTTTGCCCATTTGAGCTGTGAGCTCTGGGGGCAAAAAATATGCATTCTTGTCCAGCACAGGGGAGAGCATGGACTTTCCACTAATTTCACACAAATAAATTACCACCTATTTTTTCAATCAGTGCCAGATCTGAGTGCAATTTACAACATACAAGTACTGTGAGGAAGCCAAAGCCATGTTAATTAAAACTTTGTGACTGAGCAAGCCTTCACTTTGCCAGGGCAAAGATCTTCTTTGGAAGCTCTTGACTCTGGGTGCCATTCCCAGGCCATCATATCCATATGGGACCAGGTATGACATCAGAAGTCTGTCTTCCTCCACAAGAGCAGACAGTTCTGCAGGATAGTGGGAGTGCACAAACCCATCTGATTGTTGTCACATTTCAAAATCTGGTGAACCCCTTCTGAGGACATTGATGTGACTATCCAAGAGAACATGAGAACATGATGATATTGTTCTACATGTCCTTCTTCCCGCTCCCTCCCCCCACCCCCCTCAAAACAAAAAAGCACAGGTTGATCATCTGGCAACTGAAAGAGAAAAGGCACCACCTGCACTGATGGTGCTGTGGTGAGTTGCATAGCCTAGGTCTGGGATAGGCACTAGAAAGGAAGGAAAGAAGATCCTTTGCTGGAGCATCACTCTTTTACCCTTCCTCAAAATCACCTGGTAGTGTGAGTTTGCCTGAAGTCAGACTCTTCAATATGTGGAGGGATATAACATTTGAATACCACTTCCAGGAAGGAGGAGCAGCTCTGTTTGTGGCTGTGGATTTAGAGACCCCAGCACAGAAGGACCTTTCTGTTCCATCCTTACTGGCACCATCTGCAAGTGTTTGGCAGACAGATGTCCACTGCCTTGAAACTCTCAAAACACATTTCTGTGAAGTGATAGGTCACTAGAGAGCTGCTGTGGCCTACATAACCTGAAGTAAGCTCCAAAAGTAAACTCTACTGTCATCTGAAATTTCTATCATTAAGTTAATCAAAAATGTCCATTCATTTCTACAGGAATACAATATGAGTTAGTAAATCCACTGAGACAGGCTAGTCAAGAGACTGTGCATATAGGACATGTCAGAGAAACTGAAGTTAGCAATGATCTAGATTCACAAAGGCTGACAAGAAACCACAAAATGCCAGAGCAGTGTACAGTAATCCTTAAATGAAATTCATCTTTCAGCAGAAAAACACATTAAGGATGGTAATTCAATGATAAAAGAGGCAGGCCAGAACAGGTTCAAATGCTGAATATTTCACAACATAACTTAATTAAAGCGGGACTGTGAGGCTGTTAATCGCTTTATAATAGTTCAGCTTGAAATGAGGTTTGATGTGAGTGCCCTTATAGTTTATTTGTTTATATTATTATAATCATAAAATGTTACATTGACCTAACGCAAATGTACAGGTCTCACTGGCCTTTATTATGTTGGCAGTTTTTTTTCCTTTTGGTCCTTCTATTTTTGTGTGAGTATGAGAAGGGAAAAAGTGGGAGGAAGGGTCATGAATTTAGGTCAGATCAGATGATTCAGTAACTCTCATGTGGGTTTTAGTCTTATTAATAATTTTAATACATTCTTCCTTGACAACAATTATTTCAATCACTGCTCCTTTTAACGTACACCGTGACGTAGAAATACACAGATTTTTAAAAGAGTGGAGCACATTTCTCCTACAAAAAAAAGTAAATTATGTCAACACTTTGGAAATTACACTGCATAACCTAGAAAAAAAGAAAAAAATACATTTGTAAGTGCAAATACAAACGTATTTTGTTGTATAAATGTACTATGCCACACCAAGTGTATGTTATTGAAGTAGAACACATTTTAAACACAAATATATTGATAAATGAATATTTATATATATATTACACAACTGAGGCACAGCCAGTTAATATTACCAATATTTCCTAGGTCAGGGTACAGAAAATGCCATGCTAGTGTGTAAAGGTACTATGATGTTTTCTATTGTTTGACATCTTTTGTGAAAGAAGAAGGGAAAGAATATTTCCTCAGATTTTCTGAGCTACAGTGGGAATGTGAGGAAGACTGACTTCTAGTGTCTTTAAAAAAAGACATCAGTATGAAAAAGGGTTTTTTTAAAAAGCTGAGAAATATACATGTGTGTCCAAACACTTGATTGGTACTGATCCTTAACTGCAGCAGCATTATTTTAGCAATGTCATGTGAATGAATTCCAGGTTCATGCATTGCAAAACATATTAAAAAAACCTGTTTGAAAACAGAATTCAAAGAAAATGAATAAAATGAGTAAAATGGACCAAATTGACCAGTTGAGAATGTGTGGAACTGTATGCTGGTCATGACAAATAATTAATAAAAGTTACAAGCTGTTAACTTTAGTCAAAAAGGCAAAAAAGTATTGAAATGATAGAATAAAAAAAGGCATCAAAAGTCGAGGATGCTGTATTTACTTCAAGTAACTTTCATAAACATGGTAAGTGCATTTTCTGTGGTAAGAATTGTAAATATGGGAATTACTGTCCTGGAGGCAATCTTTGTTAAACCAGCGTAGCTTTACAATTAAAAGAACAAAAGCTGGCTTGTGCTAACCTCTGAGGGAAGTACAGCACCCCTTAAGCACTGCAAACCCCATTTCTGACAAACTGTTGCTAAAAACCTTGCCAGCAGTCCTGGAAAAAGAAGAATTTATATGGAAATATATAAAAACATCCTTCCTGTCTGTGTCAAAGGCACCTTGGTGAGGTTATCACTGGACCTTGGTGACAGTGGGGACAGTTTCC